TACTCCTTAGACGCGCACATTTAGAATCCATCAGATTGAGATCCACCAATCATGAAGCTATCTCTAAGAATCTTCTATATGAGCCACATGCGGATCCGAGGAGCGAGGTTCGCACTAATACGCAACTATTACCTGAGACTGGTTTGCTTTATGGCCAGAATCGCCTCCCAAATGGGGGGGGGAATAAATTAAGGCAACGTTTATGGAATGGCGCTGGGGGCGGTTATGATGCATTTTTAATTGACGTTCATTTGAAGAAACGCGGAGAGCGCTTCCATTCAATTATGCGCCGTTTCCAGTTACCAGTTGCCGGTTGCCAGTTGCAAGTCGTCAGTTTTCAGTTTTCAGTCGCAACTCCGTCTCGTCTGCAACTCCGTCTCTGATTGTATAGGCCATAAAAGGCGCTCGCAACGGTTTTGGGCCAAATTGCCACTTTGTGTGCAAATTTGAATTGTGGAAATGCTGTGCATAAAAATGGAAAAACGCGCGCCTCGCAATTGTTGAGCCATCCCAGGTGCACCCGGAAAAATGCTATCCCTTACCATTTTATGTTTATTTTAATCGAGACTTTATGTATTTAAAAAGTTGTCTGAACCATCTCTTAATTTAAAAATATTATATTTGTATTGTTTGATGTTTATTTGTACAAAATATCAGAGATCATATCTTACCAAACTTGTTACCTGTATCTGACTATAAATTTAGAAGGGTCAAAGGAACGCAAGAGTCCTCTGCAAAATCGAAGTATTTATCCCTAAAATTCTCAAATGGATCTAGTACAAATATGAAGCTGATTATTTAAGCCTTCTCTTACCCTATTTTGTAATAAATAATACAATTTTTAAATAATGTATTGAAAATAATCTATTGTAAAACCGAAATGCTATAAATACATTTTGCTTAGTTCCAAAAACAATCGGATTTAAAGAACTTATTTCACCAAAATTGTTTTACAAAACAAACAGATATATATTTCCTACAACATATACTCCTCATATCCAATACTTCCCCATAACAGATGGATTTTCAGAGTTACAGTGGATATTAAAATCAATTTGTACCTCTTTTGGGGGGCAGTCATTTTGCCATGTGCACTGGCATTCGTATCTGACGAATGCAATCTGCAAACATTTTAAAAGGCCGCTGCAGCTCGTCAAGCACCACCACTTGGCTGCAGTGAACCCAAACCCCACCCACACACGCCTCAATTACCACCGCCAACGTTGGTGGCACTCGGCTAACGAATTGCTAACGTCGACTTGCCAATTGCAAATAATGCACGCCCAATTGTTGCACATTTGCTGAGGGGGGAAAACATTGCACCTTTCTGGCTTTCTGGCTCTCTGCTTTTCCAGCTTTTCAGCTTTTCAGCCTACCAGCTTTTCCGCTTTTTGACAGGCGACGGCGGACCAACAGTCAGTCGTCAGGCAAAACGTTATTCATTAATTCATCACATCGGAGGAGGCGCTTTGGAATCCCCTCACGATTTATTCGTGGCAACGCAATCGTCGATAGTCTTAGTCTTAATTGGCTTCGTTTCGATTGTATAAAATAATCGTTAGGAAACGTGTTCTGCTTAATTGGAAAATTTGTATGTCTTGTCCGTAGCACAGTAGTCTTTGCGTTTATTGATTTTTGAGAAAACCAGGAAAATTCTCCAGTTCGCGAGTCGTCCAATAAATCCCAGTAACGGGAGAATGGCATTCAAATGAGTCTCTGAATGGTTAGTTTAGTCGAGATTTACCGAAAGGATATTTAATACCGGTGGATTTTTCAGCGAGTTAAAGTATTTAGTGCAAGTTATTAACAGAATACATATTTTTGTAAGCAAATAGTAGTTCTTTTTTATCTGCATCTCTTTTCTAACTTCCCTGCCCTATTTAACTTAAATTTTAACCACTTTTCTCCGATTTGATTTCCTATTTAAACTTGTTTAATTAAATCCCGGCTTAAACAAAACGTATTGCTCTGCCCACAATGGATGGGGGACACTAAATATTCAACTTTGCATACCGCATTTAACCCCTTTTTACCTTCAATGCAACACAACAATCGATTCACCTGAATTTGACGACACTCGCACACAAATAGGCCTTAAGTTTAAATCCGCAAATATTTATAATTCCGTATTAAATTCATAATGCAGAATGTTTAATGCATAAATACATAATAAAATTTAACGACCTTTACCTTATCTTGTCACACAAAAACGATAATAAACTTTCATTTTAAAATGCGAGAAAAAGAGGTAGTATTTTTTTTCCTCTCCACAGCGAAATTTTACGAGTATTTTATTTGTGCATGCTGGACATTGCAAGTTGCACGTTGCACATTGCACGTTGCACATTGCATTTTCCGCTGCTGTGGCACACGTGTGGCAAGTGGAGGCGCCACCACATGCACAATCGGGCGCCAAACAATTTGTCATTTTTTGCCATTCGAGGCGGAGTCGCAGTCGGAGGCGATGATCAATGCCTTGAATTATGATGAGGATTTATGCTTGACACTGTCGCAATGTGGCAGATAGTGCCGGACAGCAGAATGTATGTATGTATGTATGGATGAATGGATGGATGTATGTATGGATGGATGGATGGATGGATGGATGGTTTTATAGCCACCATTTCCCCCCCAAAGAGCCGACGGAGCGTCGTCAGTAGTGGCACGAACTGCTGGTCCACCCCCAATGCGGTGGCCCTGTATGATTTATTAAGTGTTAATAAAGAACTTAAATCCGTTGGATTGCATTTTCTCTCTTACTCTGTTTGTGCTCCTCTGTTTGTGTGGCCCTTTGGGTCACATTGCGCCCACTATGACCCCCCGGTTGACCCCACACACCCTCAGGATTTCCTTATCAATGCGTTCCATATTCGCGGCGCGCCGATTTCATTTCGCTCGCTCGCCAATTTCGCAATAAAATTTCGCCAGCCTGCAAATTAAAATTGCAATGTAATTGGTTAATCCATGCGTACATTATGGCCATTGTAGCCGGGGCCATTCAAATTTTGCAGAGGAAGTGCTTCCCGGTAGTTTCATTCCATTTCGGTTGCGGATCCAGTTTGGGTTTTGTTCCTTCTGCTCCTTCGTCCTGGTTCCCTCATTGTTTCTGGCTCATTTTTTGTGGATTACATTTTTCATTAAGTTTTTTGTACTGAGCAGCAGGAAACAGAGGTGTGGGAGGTCACACTTTATAAGTGGGCGGTGTTTTTTGTTAAATTTTCCATAGTAAAAATGAGTTTAAAAGATATTTTTTTATATACAGTTAAATATCAAAAGGATAGGGTATATTTGCTGATAAATAATTGAACACTTAACTTTATTCTCTTCTTTATTGTCTTGTAAGTTAGTTCTGTATTAACATCCTTCAAAACTGGCGTGTAATTTGTGGAAAACTCTTCAATTAATCAATCTAAGCCAAGACTTTTTGAGTACCAAATGCATTAAATACCCATTAATATGTCGACACCTTCGGTTTCTTGCGATCCCTGGGGTTTTTCGGTCTCATCAAAGCCCAAAAACTCGACAGCGAAATGTATTGACTTTGAAAATTCTGAACGATGGGTGTGATAAATCTGGAGAGCGGCAAGAGAACAGCTTTCTTCAATACAAAAACTTAACTACACTCAGAAGAAAATTACCAAAACTAACTACGATTTCATCTAATAAAATAATAAATTCCTAAAACATAAGAAACAAATATGCAAGTAAATAATAAGCTCATATTTCTGTTACTGTAGATTAATAATCTTGCTTGATTGCCTAACATTTTCTTCAAGTGCACCATCCAACAGGTGCTCTCGGCACCATGGAACCGCCGAAAGAACAAGCCAAAATCTTTATAGACATTTCGTAAACAAACGGCAAGTATTTTGTTGAACGTTTCTGTGTAAATAAACCTCCGGGCCACACAACTTTGATCTCTGCTGGCCGTGTGAGTATCTCTAGTTGTATCTGTATCTGCAATTGTATCTGTATCTTCTTTTGATGTTTCTGGCCTGGCGTCAGCACCGGCGCTTCCAGCTGCCAAATTGCTGCTTTATTAGCTGCGTAAGTGGCTCCCCCCGAATCCAGAAACCAACAAAAATAAAGTGGGAGGTGTCTGGTACACAGATTCAATTCGAGTGGCATCGTTCGATTTGAGCGATTGTGGCCAATAAAACAGCAGGTTCCTTGGGGCAAACAAGCTGCCAAGGTGGCAATTAAGGCGCTTGTCTAATTGCCCCAAAGCAAATAAGGCCCATCCGTCAGCGGGCCAAGTGCGAGGGAGGAGTTGGAGTCTGATTTGGATTCGGATTCAGCCGCCTCGGGGCTAATTGGCCACGTTTAGCACTGTCCATATCCACTGGGCAACTGGGCATTCTGGCCATTCAGCGCCTTCTAGCCCTTTCCCGGCAGGTGTGTGAGCTTTTCCCACCTTTTCCCTCCGGCAGAACGGAAGCCCTCGTAAATTGCCACAACAAGCCACCGTTGACACAGGGGGCGGCTGGCCATTTGGTTAATATGAAAATGAGATTGTTTTGTATGCAAATCCCTGGGAATCAAAGTGCAAAATGCGAAATGCGAATCGGGAATAAAAATAACTTTTTGAGACTTTGAACCATGCTTGGTTAAATATGTATAAATAGAACCAAAATGAAATAAATAATGTTTCGAAGATTGCAAAAATTTTGAACTAAGCTATAATATATTTCCGATAATAATAAACTTTGGTTTCTCGCATTTAATTACTTTTCTTGTTGTTACTTTGACTTTGCAGCGTTCTATCATTAATTAAATAGAAAACAAGTATTATGTTATTCGTAGAAAAGTAATTATAAGGAAAAACCAATAATCTTGACTTGTTGACCTTTAATTCTAAAAAAGAAAATAAATAAAAATAAGCTTGTAGACTTTAAGAAATGCAATAAATAATAAATTAAAAGAGATAAGGCATCCGAGATTAGCCTCGAAACCTTTAAAAGCGACTCGCAGCCGGCAGCCCTTATCAGTCTTGTCTTGAGTCTTTCAACAATGGCACCACAGTGGAAATTTGCCGTTCTCCTCCTGATCTCATTTTTCCTGGGAAACTTCCAAGCCAATGGCAGTGTTTATTGCGGTTTAGGGGGAGTATGTATGGATAAGGTCTCCTGCTCCTATCCTCGTGTAATTTCAGGTCCATGTGGCTATAATGAGGTTTGCTGTAGTATGCGATTGTAAGTGAATTGGATTTGTATTTAAAATTGTTTTTTAATAACAAATTGTTTTTCTGTACGCAGTTATGGATAATGTATGCGAAAAAGAATGCTCCTGAGAGAATTCATTAAATATCCTTTATAATATTATAATAAAAATTAAAATGTAATAAAAAAAAGAATTGAACATTAGTAAAACCTCGATTAATCAATAAAAAACAAAAAAACTACACATAGTCAAGCCCCAATTGTAGAAGCCACCAAAAGATGTGCAGTTGAGGAAAAACAATCATCGATGTTGAACAAAAAACAAAACGCAAAGCACCAACTTTTTGCTGCGCAAAGGAGTTCCTGCAGGACCAGGACGAAGGGGAGCCAACACCCATTGCATACCCCATAACGTGGCAAGTTTGAATATACTCGCAACCGTAAGATTCCCGAGTATATTAGGTAGCAAAATTTTTACGAGCTCATTATGGCTCATTTCGGCGATTGTTGTGATCCTTTTATGCGCCTTCGAATGGCTTCAAATGGTTATGAGGCTATTTCTCTGTCATCCCCGCGACACCCTCCATTCCTGCGCACTCGCATCCGCATCCGAGTCCTCCCCTGGGTCCCAGCTCTGGCGTTCTGTGTCCTGCGTCCTGTGTCCCTGAGTCCTGCGTCCTGCGTCCTGTGTCCCTGAGTTTCTCTGTGTTCCCAAGTCCTCACAACATTTAGTTTGCAGTTGCGACTGCGATTTTTACTTTTGCTTTGCTTTCCTCGCTTTTCTTGGGCTGTCGCATATTTGGAAAATGTCTCCGATTCGAATGGGTACAGAAAGAAAAATATAATATATTTTATAAATTTAAAGTGAGTTTAGTAGGTTGCAGATAGTTATTACTTCAAGTTCTTAAATCGGATGAATAAACTTATTTATTATGGGTTTATTATTCCCTTGTTAAAGAAAATTGTGGTAACATGGGTTCTTTAATCAAACTTTTAATGAAACTTTTAATTGCATTAAGTTGTTCTAAGAGCTTAATCTTTTTTCTCAGTGCATAAATGTGTACATTCGTGCGCTTTGTGCAAGTTTTTGTATCCATCGCTTGTTGTTGATTTTTCAGACTTGGCACCGACATGCGGGGTGGAAAATGGCGGGGAAAATTTTTGGTGCTGGGCGGGGGGGTGTGGTCTGAAAAGCAGAAAAGTAAATTTCTTCTTATAATAAGTTTATTTTGCAAACACTTGTGGCAAGGAACTTTGTTTGTTCGTCGTCGGTTTCTGGCTTAATCTACGAGCCGTTTGTGCGAATGTGGAAACTTTGACAAATATTTGCGAAACTTTCGCGAATGGCTCGCAAGACCCCGATCTATTTGCATTATGCATATGAATTTATTAGCATCAATTGGCAGCCATATTTACATTGACATTAATATCCCATTGAAAGTATTGGCCAACGGATAGAACATTGCGATTCAAATGCGAATATGGGATAAGGAAAACCGCAGCCCACAAATTTTCCGGCTCTTGGGTTGAATCACATTTTAAAGGCAAGGAAAATCCGAGGCACACTGCAACTGTCACTAAATGATTGTTCTTTAATGTTTTAAAATATAAAATGTATTTGTAAAATTATGCAATCTTTAGTTGTGAATGTTTGCACACATTTTGATTTAATAATTCATTATTATTCTGTTCTGAAACTACTGTAAAGCTAAGCAATCAATATTCGTAAACAATTTATAATTAAATAAGACTGTTAACTTTGAGTATACGACTTAAGATAGCCTTGATACAAATTGCTGTATCACTTAAAAAAAAATTAAGTAATGCAAAACTTAATAAGGAATTAATTTATGGAAAAATAATTGCTTAGCTAGCACATCATGATCATTAAAGTAAGCTTCTTTCTGGCTATCCGTTGGACAGGTGGATCGATGGACAATCCTTATCACTATCACTACCACTATCACCAGAGATGATAACAGGGGGAAGGCCGCGGACAGAATGAGGCTAGCGAGGCGGGTGTGCCTGTATTTATAGTCCCCGAGTAAAGAGAACAGAGAAAGTGTGAGCGAGAGAGAAAGAGGTACCTCTAGAGATTAGCAGTGGCAGAGCTAATCTCCAGAGCTACCTCTTTCTCTCTCGCTCTCACTTTCTCTGAGAGATGATGAATGACATGTGGCTCTACTGTACCTCTACATGCTCCACTGTGAGAAGTAGGAGCCGGGTTGGGGTTGGGTTCGAAAGCTCAAAAGGTAGTAATAAAGTTAATTACTTGTACTACTTATTTTTTAATTATTTAATTATTTCTTAATATAAGTAAAAGAAATATTTTTATTAGTATTTTAATGGCAAATCAAAATATAAATGACATTTGGCAATCAATTTTAAATATCACTAAGAAAACCTAAAATATATGTATTTTCTGTATAATTAACAATTATATTTAGATAATAATTTTTTGGCTAAGTCTTCGTTTTTCAATTATAGTAACTAAGTCAAAAACGCCTTAATTTCAATTCGGATAGCTTTCCTATGCTAGTTTTTGTTTGGATAATAAATCTGCATACTCAATTAAAAATTAAAAAAATTGAAATTATTTTCAAATTGTTGACAATTTTAACGATGTAACTCCTTCTAAAATTTTGAAAATTTTGAAAAAAGTTAATATTGCCCAGACATAGCTAAATCAATTCGACTGTTGATGCTGATGAAGAATATATATAATTTATAGGATCGGAAATGATTTCTTCACTACTTTACAAGCTTCTGACTAAACTTATAATACCTTGAAAAGGTATAAAAAATACCTAAATTAAAGCCATTAAACTGTAATTGTAATTTTCATTGCTTTCAAAATATAATATAATATATAATTTTCATATACAATAAATAAATTAATAGTTGGAGGAAAACTTTATATATATATATATATATATATATACTTCATGTGCTATTTTTTAAGATATATATATTACATATTATATATTTTTTTGGTACATATCTCGCTTAAAATTTTAACAGTTAAACTATTTTAAATGAACACCCCTAAATAAATATTTTTGTAAGCTATACAAAATACACTACCAACTTCAATGAAGTATAAATAGAGAACCCACTGAAAAGCACAATATTTTCGTGACTCTGCCAGCGGAAAATCATGGAAAACTAATCCGATGGAAATGCGCTCAAACCGCCTCAAAGCGAGATGTGCAGCGGACGAGGTGCAACTGGCAACTGGAGGTTTGAACGGCGAGCGTGTTTCGCCACGCCGTTGAGTGAGTTGGCCTATAGGAAAAATTCAGCCCTCCTCCATGATGAATTTCCCCAGAGTTGGAAGTCGCAGGCAAGTGAGCGAATTTTCCGTACGCGCAAATGATGAACGACAACCCCGAGAAAAGCCAGAGGAGAGAGAGCACCAGCACGAGCACTCGCACTCGAACATGTTCGAGTCCATCGAGCGAATGAACGGAGTTCATCTGGTTCGATGCCTCTCAGTGTTTTGGTTGGGGCCCACGAATACCACTCAGAGCGACTCGAGTGACTCAAAGGCAGAATGAGTGGCTAGCTGCGAACCGCAGCGGGTCTCTGAGTGTTTTCGGGGCGAGCAAAGTCAAAACACTGGCAACTGCGATTTGGTGGCACATTCGTTCGATGGCAACGGTTTGGATAACAGGCGCGCGCTTTGTTTTATTATCCACATTATCAGCGGCATTATTGTTATTATTGGCCCTCAGCTCTGCAAACGGCAACAATCGCCCACGCGTCCGCCCGTGAATGCCGCGCGGAAAAACCGCTTTCCACGACTACTTCAATCAGCGAATCTCTCAAAATCGCCCGCGCTCGTTCGGTCAGCAGCCAATAAAAACTAATAAAAATCAACATAATAACAATAATAATAATAACAATAATAATAATAATAATAATAATAGTAATTGCAATAACCATAAACGTAATAATAATCGTAACGCTTACGGGCCTTTGATAGTGCCACGGCGAAAAAAACAAACAACAAACAAGTATTCAAATTAATATTGAAATTCCAATTCCGATTCAAATTCGAATTCAATTAACAGCAAAGTGCAATTGGCTAAAAGTACGAAACCAAAACGCAACAAAGTATACGAAACACTTGTGAATCTGCAAATAAAAATTAAAAATAAATGAAAACAATAGTGCGGCAAAATTAATATATATTTATTGAATCTGCAAGTTCAATAAAGACTAGTGCTAAGTGGAAAGTGCAATAATTCAAACTGACTTTTACACAACACAATATTTACAAAGCTTAATCGAAGCCCTTAAACTTTTGAAAAATATTTTTAAATATACAACAGTGCTACGAATAAAAATAAAGTTTAATATCCAATTGGTTCTTGAGGAAATTTTAGAAAATATATACAACAAAAACGTATTCAAGATTGAAAGCATAACTGAATTAAATTAAAGAAACAAACAATTGAATAATTAAATTAAAATATTTACAAACTATTCTACAAACAAATTTTGGAAAATTATCTACAAAGTTAAGGCGAAAATATTTTAAAGAAAAATCACAAAAAATCCAGAAGAGCGGGAAATATTTCCCTTATAATTAAAAATATTTAAAAAATTCGAAACCCAAGACAAATGAGCGCCAAAAACAGCTGAAGAAAGTCCAACCAAAGTCCCCAAAAAAAAGGAACGCAACTCCAGGAGTAATAAATCGTAGAAAAGACAAGAACACCCCCAAAAGGATTCCCAGCCCGTCTTGGACGGAGCACCGCCAAAATTCTCACCGCCAGCAGCGCAATGAACTCGTACTTTGAGCAGGCCTCCGGCTTCTATGGTCATCCGCACCAGGCCACCGGCATGGCGATGGGCAGCGGTGGCCATCACGATCAGACGGCCAGTGCGGCGGCGGCTGCGTATCGGGGATTCCCCCTTAGCCTCGGAATGAGTCCGTATGCCAACCACCATCTGCAGCGCACCACCCAGGACTCACCCTACGATGCCAGCATCACGGCCGCCTGCAATAAGATCTACGGCGATGGTGCCGGTGCCTACAAACAGGATTGCCTGAACATTAAGGCCGATACGGTTAATGGCTATAAGGATATCTGGAACACGGGCGGTGGCTCCAATGGCGGCGGAGGCGGGGGCGGCGGCACAGGTGGCGGCGGAGCGGGAACAGGTGCCGGTGGCAACGGGGCCAACGGTGGCAACACACAGGCCAATGGCCAAAATAATCCAGCGGGCGGTATGCCCGTCCGCCCCTCCGCCTGCACACCCGATTCCCGCGTGGGCGGCTACTTGGACACGTCGGGCGGCAGTCCCGTTAGCCATCGGGGCGGCAGCGCCGGCGGCAATGTAAGCGTCAGCGGTGGCAATGGAGGCAACGGCGGCGGTGGCGTCCAGAGTGGCGTCGGTGTGGGCGTGGGCGTGGCGGGAGCGGGCACCGCCTGGAACGCCAACTGTACCATCTCGGGCGCAGCAGCCGCACAGACGGCGGCCGCCAGCAGTTTACACCAGGCCAGCAATCACACATTCTACCCCTGGATGGCTATCGCAGGTGAGTGTCCTGAAGATCCGACCAAAAGTGAGTGTCCACTGCAGCACAAGTCCACTTAAAGTCCCTAATATAGAATCCTTCTAAGCAAACAAATACCTTTTTGGCCTATTGATTGAATTCGATTTTTATGTTGAGCAAGAAGACAAGAACTTAAAAAATTTGTTTTTAAATTTCTCGAATATATGTTATTTATTATATATTTTTACAACTAAAAACTTTATGTTTTAATTAACTATAATTAAAATAAATGATTATGAAATAACATGATACAAAGTGTTTACCTATTTCTTTCAAAGAATCTTTTAAATATTTTCTTGAAATGCCAAAATTTTTAAACTTTGTATTAACTTACAAAGAATAATAATACTTGTAAATAACTATATAAGTTGCATATTTATTCATCAATTTATCTGAACATTCGAAATTTATTCTTAATGATATATTCATGTTTATAATATTTTAGAATTATTAGTATGCCTCTCCTAAAATCGAAATTCAATCAATGAGCCTAAACCCCCAAACCAAACCAAAGTTTTGTTGTTTTGCCAATTGTTATCCAAGTGAAATCTAGTATCATAACCCTGGTTTTATCGACTTCAGCTAAATCAACAATATTAAGTCTGACTAATTAGTGTTTCTTTTGATAAACAGATAAAGTCAACAAATAATAAGGAAGTAATACATAAACTTAAATCGAAGAAGATCCAATTACCACTTTCCACTTTTGTATGAACTAAGTGTCGTATACTTAATTTAATAAATTCAAAAATATTTTTGAAGCCTCTCTCATCTTGTATATGTGTCTCAAGATATTTAAAAATAATTTCTTTTACAAATACCTATTTGAAAATAAATATTTTTTCTAGATCAATCTTAGAAATGTGACATGTTTTTAAGAATTTATGAAGTGTTAACATGAATACTTAAAAGCACAAAATCTATAAACAAGTATATATACAAACATCAAGATTTATCTAAAGCAAAAATTATATATTATACAAATCATGTTTCTAGATTAATTAAAAATTTAAACAAGTAACCAGAAATACGAAAATTTCCATCATCATCATTATTAGCTCTACAATGTTTCCTTTTGGCCAAGTGCAAATTATTTTCCACTTATTCTATTTAAAGCCAATCGGCGGATAGTTTATTCGCTGGCTTGCAATTTAAGCGATTTAATCACTCTTAGCAAGATCAGAGAGCTTGGAGCCATAAACAAGATGGAAAACTGGCTTCCACCTGTGTGTGTGTGTGTGTGTGTGTGTAGCTTGAAGCGGTCTCCTTTAACCGGCTGCCTCATAATTTCCAACACTTTGTTTACTAATTTTTGTCACCTTTTGCCTTTAATGATGCTCGGCGGTAATTGTTGCAACGCTCTGGCAGACCAAGTGAGCTGCAATTTGTGCAACAAGGAGCGTGAATTATGGCATGCGGCTGAAAAGGGCTGCGAAATAGGAGAATACAGCAGGAAAACGCCAGCAAAAGGCAACAGGATGAGAATCCTTTCAGGACACACACTGCGAGCAGAAGTCGCGCTTATTACGGTTAACTACGCCATTATGTAATTACGTTACAGCACCTCGCCCCGGTTGCCTTTTTCCCTGGCTTTTATTTTTTTCGTTTTTTTTTGTAGCCACCAACCGAGCGAGGCGAACGGCTTGAGACTTGGCTACGAGATTGCAGTTTGGGCCAAGAACAATGCCACTGAACAGGGCCAGGAGTAGGTCAGCCGAAGGAGGTCTAGATCGAACATAAATTGCACAGAACTAGGCACTGAAAAAATGTTGCTGAACAAATATTAAAAAGGCAATAAAGTTGTATATAGGAAAAGAATTATTTTCTTTTTAATGTACTCTTCATTGATATCCTTGTATTTATTTAAATTATTTCCTTTTAATATCTTAAAAGTGTATCTAAAAAGTGTAATGATTTTTTGCGAGTGCATCGCTCAGAATACCCTTTCAAAAATCAATCAAATTTCACTTATAGCCAACGCCAAAAGCTGGTTAAAAAACAATTAAAGTTGAACTAAATTCAAGAGCCTTGCGACAGGTTTTCCCCTCATCGATTCCATCGATTCAACGAGATGATCGGCATAATGAAATTTATGCGCTGGGCCAGGCCCAAAACCGAAGTGTTGGTGATGAATTGGCCAAGGCAAAAGATATGGCCAACAAACCCTCAATACAGGGTGTCCTTTTATAACACTCTCGAGTGTAACAGGCAAACTCTCAGAGCTAAGACACTCTAAAAAAGAAATATCACCCTTCCAATGAGTCTTAGAAATTCTAACAAATTCTTACCTGAAGATTATGGAAACCAATCTTACCTGAATCTACCTTTTAAATATGTTTCTTATAAGAAAACGAGATGAGCTGCTCATTTACGATATTCGATCAGAGTGAGTTGAGTTTTGCGTGCAAAGACAGGAAACCGTGAACTTGGAACTTGTATAATCTGGGAATGGGAATCTACAAGTCATTAGGTTTATATAGTATTATTCTTTCTTATCGCCATCATTGCTATTTGTCAAGTGATATCGCCGTTTTGATTTACTCGCAAATATAATTTAATTTTAAGCGATTTGCTCTGAGCAAACTGATTAAATCTGTGGAAGGCAACGGAAAATCAAGTCATAAATAAATCGGCGCACACTTCCAGCGATCATCGATCATTTGCCGCTGATCCGAGGCCCGAAATGCAAACCAAATTCAATTTTTATCGTATCTAAACATGGCTTCACATTTGAAAAACCCACATCAGAGGGTTTCTTTTTTTTCTCTTTTTGGCTGTGGTGTTGGCGTTGGTCGATATGTTGTTTGAATGCTGTTCTTGGCTGTGTGTGGTGTGTGTTGGGTGCTGTGCGGAGCATTAAATCATTGTCCTGAAGGCTTTTAAGTCATTATCGATAAATTTCAACATAAATTCGTAAATTTGCTTTATTTGCCTGGGCCGGTGTGTGAGGTTCACGTCGGTGAAGTGCTTTATGGCCGCGTTCTGTTTGGGTGTCCAAAAGTTTGTTGGCCGCCTAATTTTGGCCAAAAAGAGCCGCAAGAAAAATATTTTAAAATATTTAAACTCTGAATAAAACTATCTTAAATATAAATTTGATATTTGGAAATAATTAAATTATATTTTTGATAAGCAAAAGTATATTTTTAATACAAGTTTCAGATGTTAAACTTATTTAAAAGTATGCATAACTTTTCGAAAAAAGAAGGAAGTTTAAGTGAATCATTTCCTTCACAATCCTGTTCAAGATTATCTTAAAATATTTATATTATTTTATAAATATCATAAAATCCATTCAGTTTTTCCAGTGTATCTGTAGATTCACCATAAAAGATAGATTTCCTGCGGCTTGTTCTCATTTTTTTTGTTCCACAATGACCTTGAGAAATGTCTGGCAAAACTGGCAATTGACACGTATCGAGCAATCATAATTCATATTTGCCGCAGTTCCCAAAAGCAGGACTCCCTCATGCTGTGACGTAATTATCAGGATGCCTTATATCCTGGCAACTACCTGCAATTGTGAAGAGCACGTATATACAGATCCTTGGAAGGTCAATGGTTTTATGGCATCTTTAGACGTTTTGCAATATTCAGTTCAAATGTCAGGCCATATGCGATTAATTGCACTTAAAAATAATTCGTTAGGGAGGAAGTGCAAACTGCATTGATTATGTAAATGGCAAAGTGCAAGGGAAACACACACAGGAAAGCATTTCAACGCGCGCTTTTAATCATTTTTCTCTCCTCGAAACGCAAAATGCAAAATCAAAAGCAAATCAAAACACAATTTCTGTGGCGGATGCTAGGGATGCCCCTCTACGGTTTCCCTCTTCCAATCGATTCTTTTCTTTTTTTTTGTTGTATTTTTTTGGGGATTGGTTTTCGGGTTCTGGGGCAGCAGCTTCTTGCATTTTTTTAATGTATTTTTAAATAAGGAATTTAATAAGCACCTTGGCGGTCCTCAAGTCGTTGGACTCGGACTGCGACTGCGGCTGCCAGTGGAGACCAAAAGTTGCAAGACGTCGACGTCGACAACGACGACAACACAAAGTGGCCCAGACACATGGCCAGCAAACACAAAAAAAAAATAATAATACAAAAATATCTACCTTGAGGAGCTGCAGGGCGAAGAGCAATTTTGGATTTTTCCCTCGTGCTTTTTTTCGAAGAGTTGCAATGGGCAAATCTTGAAGTTCTTGCCAAAAATTTTAAGAAATTATTCAGAAAAATATTGAGAAGATTTTTGAAATGAAAAATGATTCAAGAAAATGTTTCGGAAACAACTTATATTTTTAATATCCATGAATTAATAAAACCCCTTCAATATTAGTTCTTAATCAAAGTATAAAATGTTGTACAAATGTTACTAATTTTATGTTAGATTTGATAAGACTTTTCCTAAAAAAACACATTAAGTCTATATATTTTCTTTGTTTCGAAATGTGTATTTATTACTTTGTTATTAAGTACAATCTAATAATGAATAAAATATATTACTTAAAAGCAAATATATAAGTTTTATGGGCCATTAATGAATATATAAAATATTAGTGGCGCCAAACGATAATCATAATGCCCCTAATAAAACGTATAAGCCAATTAGTTTTCATTTAATTTGGATTAACGTAAATAATAACTATCAGTAACTAGAAAATATACGAATATATATACTATATACGAAATATATATAGTTCGTATAATATATGTATAGTAGAATCGATTAATGATAAGGTATAATTACAGTGCTGTAGGCTTCTTCCGCATTGTGACATTCACGTAATCGATCATCTGTTTAACATACAAATGTCATGTGAACAAGCAGTTATTATTATTAATTATTAATATTGTTTTTGCTGGCCCCACTGTGCTCGCATACGTCTTTTCTTAGCCAGTTGCAAAATCATGTTTTAAGGTGTTTTTGATACCTAATAAAAACAACAACGCGGCCAGGAAGGAGCAAGCAGCCATGCCAAAAAAAAGGGACAAGGGTCGTGAGTTTCATAGGAAGAAGGGGGAATTATGGGGGAGTATGGGAATATATATATATATATATATATATCAGACGTTAGTGACCGTGTGCTCCCTTACCTTAACCCTTTGCTGGCTACGTCATAGCCATTGCCACTTGGAAGACGCCAACTTCGTTGCTTCGGCGCTCAACGGCGTGTTTATTATAAAACAACAAATCATTCATTATAACCACTTGTGTGTGTGTGTCTGTATGGGAAAGTGGCGTAAACATGAAAAGAAACACACACAAACACACACACATGGCACACAATTCCATGTTGTTTCCGATAATATGCATATTTGCGTATTATTTTGATTTTAATAATGATTTATTTATTATTAATAATTCATTGGTGGTGGCCTCTTGCCGGGATTGGTATGGGGGATCGGATCTGATCGGATCGGTTTGTAGCGACCTGATTGCGATCTGATCCCAGATTCTCCTCACAGAGTGCAAAAGCTGACTCTCATCTCACCTGGGCTTTAGCCTCGGATATATACATGTATATAACTTGTGTAACAACAACGAACTAGTAGGAAACGCATATTATAATGAGCTTCAATTAAGATAGAAATCTTAAAGACTAAAAAGACAAAGATTTATGGGTTCACAATTGTCCAGCAGACTGGCTTCAGGTTGTTCAGGCATTAGAAAATACACGGGGAAAATATAATAAATACAATACTACATATATTATACATAGGATTTGGAAGAAACATATATTATAAAAGTATTTAATGGGTTGTAAATATACTTTATTTAAGCATTTTACAAATACCTCAAATTTCTAAATTAATCATAATCAATCCCATTTCTTGATTAAATTTTAGCTTAAATAGCACTTATTCATTTATTACTTCCTAATAAAGAAATACTGAATATTTTTTTGATCAATATTTTGATATTTCGTACCACTTTCTCTCTGTGTACTAAGCTACTACACATGCTTCGTGATCGCATAATGAGTGCTACCCAAGACTCTAGTCATTAAGCATATTTCTCGACTCTCCACACCATTTAAAATGTTTCAGAATATTATATATGAATGAGGTATTTAACACTGGTGTTTCGCATAATATATCAAACTAGTTTCTACTACCCACTTCTTTTTTTATTTTGTGGAAAATTAAGGGCATTTTGAATTCGTTGAGACCTCTTCTTTCGTGAGCCTGTTTTTTGCCGGCAACCATTGATTTACGAGATCTGCCTTGGTCAAAATGTGGGTAACTGTTACCAACCATATTTTTTCGTTGTTGGGTCATCGATTGGTATATATATATACTATACTCTGTATACTATAATTTATAGATTACTAGTTTGATTTATCATCTGGCTGCACTGTGAACTTGGTCAGAACTTGGTATCCTAGGCTCCTTTTAGGGCCACATTAATGTCAATTTAATGTTTCCTTAATGACTTCTTCTGCTTGGGCCACAAACTTCTCACTGCTGTTGTGTTATCAGTTTGGTCTGGTCAAAACTGAGTGAGGGGGGAAAACTGGGAAAGTGTTTATGCTAAATAGCTAACGAGTTTTCCACTCGAAAGTGAAGCTGTCCGGTGGCCAAGTTGAGTTGCGTTGCATTCAAAGTTCCGATTCCGATTCCGATTCGGAATCCGAATCCGAGTCTGAATGCCACATGCTTGGCGTCTATTTATTTGGGTCGGCAATTAAGATTTATATCAGCCCCTTTGATGGGGCAATAAAAGGCCAAAGACGCCGCTGCAGCAGCAGCCGGCAAATGTTCTCTTTCTCTTGGAGAATTTTCCTTCACCCCCTGGAAATTTTTCTCAGACACTCTCTATATATTCTCTCTTCCTCTCATTTATGCGGCTGGCGGCTAATCCTCCCGCAAAAGCGAGGCGTGCGACGCCTTAAAGAGTCATAAAAATCATTTTCTCCCCCAACCCTCCAGGAAAAGCAGAAGAAGGTGTGAAAATCCAGCAAAGCGAGGGGTGGTGGGTTTTTTTTTTATTTTTTCCCCCCTTAGTTTTTCCAGGGGGCAACCGCAAACTAAATGTTTAATTTTTACAAGTCGCGTCGCATGTAAACAGCATCACCCCGCTGCCAGCCATTTGTTTGAATTTGTCTAAAGTGGCTCTGGCCCTGCGCTTTTCCTTTGTTTCTCTCTGTTTTTCTTTCATAATTTTCAACTGCAAATACAAAATAATAAGAAAAATAATAATCGACCAAAAAAGAAACCCTTCATAGTTTTTTGGCAATTTTCGTTTTCTTTTTAATTTGATATTTTCTTTGTTTGTATCTTTTCGGTCTTGGTCTCTGGGCCTGGTCTCGACTATGGTAGTATCTGCTCTTTGTGTGTGCTTCCTGAAAATTACGTTTACTCAGGCGCCAGGCGCGCATATTTAAATACACACGTGTTTTATCGCTGCCATTAAATCATATTTTTATACTTTTACCTTTTGCTACTACCGCCACCCGCCCCCACTTTTTCGAGGCGTTGGCATTCCGGATTGTTTACATTTTGCACTTTCATGGCATAAACAAAGTCCCGGCGACGCTAAATATCGTGAAAAAAAAGGCGAGACATCCAGCAAAAGGCAAAAGCGATAGGAACTGGAGATAATGCCATGTCCATGAATCAGTCTGAGTGCGATTGATAGCCTCTAGTTCAAACTTTGGAAGACTCTCGTAGTGCCAGACGAATTATCAAGAGCAAATCGAGTGCACTTTCGAGAATACTGAGTACTGAGAAATATTAGTATTTTAAACTGGGAATTTTAAATATTTTAAACTGATTAGGAAAAGGCACTGAGGTAGGGGAATCACATTATTATTTATGGTGTGTATATTGCACAGAACCGGCCTTTCTTAGGGATAATAAGTAGCAGTTTTCGAGCAAGGAGATTAGTAATTGGTGTTATAAGATTCACAAATCATCATATTACATTTACAAAATAAAAATATAACTTACTCTTCCAATTTACAACTGAATTATAGGATCAAATCGGAAATAGATTATAAATAAGCTAAAAAAATTTACATTCTTTGAAAGGATATTTTTATCTGACAATTTTTTCGACAAATCAACGCTTAAAAAACTCATAGCTCAGCCAAAAAGGCATTAAATTGAATTCAGAAATCGCTCGTATGTTAGTTTTTATTAAGTTAATAAATCTGCATACTCAATTTTACATTTTAAAAAATTCAACATTTTGCATATTTTTTTAAATTTTAACGATGCAAACGATTATAAAATGTTCAAATTTCGAAAAAAAAAAAATATATATTTTTTGGTCGAACATAGCTAGATCGATTCTTGCTGATCAAGAATATATATAATATATAGGCTCGGAAATGATTCCTTCACTGTGTTTTAGACTTTTGAATAAAAGTAGAATACTCTGCAAGGTTATAATAATATAAGAAAAATTAAGTTAATAGATGGTTGAACTAGGATAAAATGCAGAGTAATTGTTCTTTAGAACATTATTATAGAAAGATAAATAAGTAAATTTACTTAGAGACCTATACTGAGATACTAAATTTCATTAAAAAAAACAGAATGCAAATAGAGTAGACCCAAGTGTAAATTACGAAAAGCTGATGATCTAGGCTTTAATATATCCATAAAAATATTATTATGAACAAAATAATAACTAAATTTAAATAAGAACAAATAATTCAAGAATATATAAATATATGAATGATAATTTTTCAACCTTTTTATACATTTTTTCTCATAGTTATATCCCTTTAAATACCCATGAAAACAACAAATCTTTGGTTGGCAAATCTCTCCCCACACACATACACGCACACTCAGGCTCCTTAACACGTGCGGCTGCTTAACCCCATAAAGCCCCACGTGTAAACCCCCTCCCTGTACTCCCATATCCCACATCCATCTGCATCTCAGGGATCTGCAGAGATCTCTCGAGAGCAAAACAATTTTGATTCCACATTTTTTAAACGTTTTCTTCTCTCTGCTTTGGCTTGCATTTTCAGGTAAGATAAGATCTGATTTAACACAATACGGCGGCATATCAACAGACATGGGTAAGAAAATTTCCACTTTTATTTCGTTACATTATTCGCTCTTAAGTTTTCGAATTAATTAAAAAAAAATACTAGAGTGTAGAGAGTATTGAGCAGGTCTACTAATCCCTACTAAGACCCAAGATTACTAATCACGTGGCGGTGTCGGTGTTTTGATACCCTAGCATATATTAAAGGTGGCGGTGGAAAAATTTATGCACTCGCAGGAGGCGGGGCTGTGGGTGGGCCGGGAAAACCTGGGGGCCGCGTGTGGAAATGATTGATTCACTGTCCCATGATTACGCTCCGGCTAAGAGCTCGCCATGTTCGGAGTTACCTGCTCACTGCTGGCCAGCCAGCTCACTGCTAGCAATTAATATTAAACATGGCAATTCAATTGGCCAACAAACACGCACTGCAAGGGGGAGGGAGGGGACCAGGAGATGGGGGATCTTGGCCCGGTTGTAGGCCTCGTTGAAACGGCTCCCTTTTTCCCTATCAGACATCGCGCTATCAGCTTTTGTTCCCGCTGCCGATCGAGCAGGCAAAATGCGTGTGTTTGCTCTTTTTTTTAACTATATACCCTGCCAAATGGGGATTATGGTAGATTAACTGAGTATATAGTAAAATCATTAAAAATCCAAACACTCTTTCTGCTCTTTAATGACATAATGTAAGTGTATTTAAAATTCGTTTAAAACCTTCTTCGACGATATTCACCGCCGAACGCGAACATCAAAGCCCCAGAGCCACTGAAGGCGTTTATTTCAGCCTGTTGTTTGGGACCTTTTTGATGCGAGGTTATCAATCAGTCTTGTCTCGCGCAGCTACTTCTTAAAATCCAATTACACACGTGAACAAGGAGGAAACTGGGGGATAGGAGAAGACTCTGGAGGGGAACTGGGATCTGATCAGGCGCGGGTCTTGTGGAGCTTCCTTTTTTTGTTGTTTTTAGTGCTTTTTTCAGGGCAGGCCACTCAAATTACATACATTGTTGCCGGCGCATTGGGGCGCAAAATTGTGGGTCCATCAACGAAGCCAAAGCCACCCAGATTCAGATGCTGCTGTGGACTCCGGACTCTGGCTACTTGGCTCCCACTTATTATTTATATACAATTGATAATCTTGTGCAAATCGGTAGCTAAATATTGGCACAGGCGCAACAAGTGGGCACAGCCAAGAAGCAGTTGGTGATCAGCTATCCGAGATTCAAGATCCACGATCCAGGTGCACAGGGAGAAATATTTATTAAGGGGTTAAGAACCAAGGAATAACTTAAGAGAATCAGCAAAACTTAATTAGGTACTTAAAATCCCTTATCTTTGCAAAGGTATTTCACTTACAACCTTCCATCAATGCTTCTCCAAGTTAATTTAAATTAAGTTAAAGTTACTTCATATTTCTTGAAGTGCATCAGCACTTTTGGCACTCTTCGATAAGCACAGATAAGCCCAGCTACTGGCTGCGGATTATGGCCGGCACTTAAGGGAGGAGAGGGGTCTTGGCCAGGAGGACTCCACCACAGACACTCTACACTCTTCCGGCTCCACTGACATTGAAGGCCGGCGCATTTTGGTCCGAACCCGCAAGAGATAATTAAATAGCGGCCTTAATAGAATTAAATGCCGTGTTTGCATTTCAAAAATCCGCAACGTGCCAAAATGCAATGGCCAACGGGCTGACGCCCCCTATTCCCTGGCTTTTTACCTGAATGGTTAAGCCAGGTGGATGGTTGTTGCCAGTGCAAAGTAAAAACAAAAAATGTCAATTTGGACAAGTTTTGATAATTGCTGGTAACCATGTGTGTGTGTGTTGTGTGTGTGTGTGGCTACTGTGCGGCACGCTGCACGTTGCATGTGGCCATGTTGCATGTAGCATGTTGCAGTTAATAATTATTGAAATGTGCGGCCGGCCAGGAGTTGTGCTATGCTCCTTGCGCTTCCTGTAGGGCTTCCTCCCAATGCACTTGGAAAAAAGAGTCCTTAAAAGCCAGGTCCTTACATTTTAAGCTTTATAGGGATATGATTTATATAAATTAACCTCTTAAACATTCAGTAAATATGTTTATTATATCTAAAATTTTTATTTTTTTGGCTAACAACTTTCTCTGAGTGTCTCTGTCCGTCAGTGGCTGCATGCTTCGTTACCTTTTAGCCTGGCCAAAAGGCTAACAATGCTTGCATTTTCCCACCTTTTTCACATAACTTTTTCTCTCTCTCTTTCTCGCGCTCTGTTTTTGTTTTCCTCTCTGCTGTTTTTTAGGGTTTTTTTTGTGTGTTGTTGCTTTGTTTGCTGCTGCTGCTGCTTCTGGTGGCAGGGTAAACAAGTCGGCCACTTGGCCAACTCGTTACTTCCCGCCAACTTCAGCCAACCCCCTTTTGCACATACATACACATGTCGATTGGCGATGTCGAAGTTGTTACCACTTTGGACGCGCTGCTCGGCCCCCTGACGGGCTTCAGACACCGGGCACCGGCAGCAGGAACCCCTGTAATAAATTCATATTCAAATTGTTAATTGAATATTATTTGTTAAATTTGCAAGCATTAAATGTAAATGTCAGCGGCGGATGTCCGACGCTGGGAAAGGCAGGGGGGGCGTGGCCAGTCGGGGGCGAGTGCGAATGTGAGAGTTCCTCTTGTTGTATAATTTCGCAATTTTGCAGCACGGTGTTCACTTTTAATTGAATTTATGCGATTTTAATAGGAGCATGTCTTGCTTATCGAGGGGATTGATTTAAGGGGATGATAAGTTGATTTAAGAAAGATATGAAATAGGAAAATTAAAGGATACCTGTTTCATATTATTAAATTTTAAAGCGTCTTCCTTTTAGGCTGTCTGTTAGATCGATCAGAAACTCGGTCACTGTTCCGATGACCTCAAAAAAAATCGTAAGCAAATATTCGGAAACACCACCCAAAAATGAAAACCCCAAAAGCAACTGAAACAAACACCGTCCCAGAAGAGTTTTAAAATTCGCAAACGAATGACAAAAAAAGGTGGCAAACAAAAAATTGTGCCAAATACGTATGAGTATTGCGAGTCCTCCGACTGCTGTTCGCTGGTCGTTGTCCTTGTCGTTGTGACTCTGCAATTTCCATAATTCATATTCATAGACATTACACAATGCCGGCAAACCAGAGACAACCGACAACGGAGAAAGGCGGTTTCGGGGAGAGAAAGGGAAAACCCCGAGTCCAGACAAACAAACGGCAGCACCTGCAATACGGATAAATGTCCGTTCGTCCTTCCAAACAACAACAAAAAAAAAGAAAGAGAAATGCAAAAAAGTATCTGTATCTGTACAGAGTGCAAAAAAATCCAAACATATGCTGGAAACACTGAAAACTGTCGCAGCAAGCTTATGCATAAATTATCCTTATAGAAGAGTTCAGTCACTCATTTGATGAGCTTCAAATCACCAGCAAATTAGGCCAAGTATCTGGCAGATACATTCTCACTCGCATCCGCATCCTCTACATTCGCATTCACATCCTCGTAGCAATTTGATTTTACACACTTCGAAATTATTAACTGGGGAGCACTTTGTGTGTGCGGCAAGTGTAAGTGCTGTAAGTTCATAAAATGGCAACAGGACACTTTCGTTTTTACCGTTGGCATTTGCAGGAGCAGCAGCATCTGGGGGAGGGAAGTATGGAGGGGTGGCTCACAAGGACATGCTCCTGGCATGTGTTGCCAATGGACATCTGGCTCTGGTCAGAGCTGGACGTGTGTGCCGGGGTTTCACAGGTTTCAATTAATGAATTAGTAATTTCGGCTTCATTGCCATAATGAACACTTTGGGGAGGAGTAACAGGGGATGCCGAAAAAAAAGGGAGAGTGTGTCCTTGCTAATTATAAGGACTAAAATCAGGTGCAAAATCTAGATAGGGATAAGCCGTAAGGAGATTAGAATGTTATTTAGATAATCAACTGAGGTTAATATATTATCAAGGAAAATAAGATACATTTGGATGGTTTTAAAAAGGAAACTATTAAAGTTTATATAAAAAACTAAGAACAAACATTTTTAAAGAATAATAGATGGAAATGTTTGGTTTAAAATAAATAATAATTAAGATACTACTTTAAAAAAGCTGGGAAAATTAAATTCCAATTATTATTTTACCCTAAACCTAATAAAAGATTTTAGAAAAACTGAAATATTCCATGAATCAAGAATAGAAATCATCATATATATTCCATTAAATAAATCTAGAAATCATAAAGCAAATATAAGCATTTTATAATGTTTTTAAGCACTCATTTTTAATGTCCAAGCAAAAGCAAAACTCACAAAGCTTCTTTCCTTGAATTATACCTTTTCAACGCAGTTTGCTATCTTGACCAATTCAAGACAAGATATTGTCACAAAACACCATGTATTTATTTCCACTCTTCAAATAGCACAAAACACTTTCAACTCTGTGATTTCCACTACCAAGAATCCACAATTCACCATATCATTGTGTCATTATATCCATCCATCCCATCCATTGCTTCTATTTACTGTGCCATCAGGCTAATGATTGGTTACAGTTTGGCCAGAAGCTGAAATGGTAAATGGATCCACCTCCCAAGGGGAGTCAATATTTACTCTTTGAAAACTATATTCCTATGTTTACATGTATCCGGGAACTCCATCCATGCATTTACATTCAAATCTTTTTTTATTTTCAACTCCACTCTGCACTTTTTCTGCTTCGATTTTGTGAGCTCCGCTGTAGGTATGCAATTAGTCAATTAATTTGAAAATTTATTAACCGCCAAAAACCAATTTGCTCCAGATCGGTGAACCAACCAAAAAATAATAAAAACACAAACACACAAGGTGGAGAAAAAAAAAACCGAAACAGAAACCGATAACAAAAACAAAAGATCGCGAAATGCCGGCGGTAAAGTGACCGCGATTTTGGCCAAGATCACGGCTAAGATACATTCGGAGATCCATGCGAGGCGTTGGTCAGCGGACAAATGGTTGCGGAACTTTCAGCGAGTTAGGGATTTGATTTTGGAAAAAG